AGGTTGGGGAGAACCAATCTAGAACTGAGAAAGTTCCTGACAGTTAGAACAATTAATCAGTGGAATAGCTTGCCTTCAGAAGGTGTGAATGCTCAAACAGTGGAGTTTTTAAGTCATTGGACAACCATTTGTCTGAAATGGTATGCCAGAAACCAGGCCGCACAAACAAAGCCCCATCCGGGGTGTGCAACACACAAAACCATGACCCATCTGGTCCACGGAAAAACCTCTCTCCACAGAACCGATCCTTGATGCCCAAAAGGTTGGGGTGGGGGCGCTAGTATAGGGTTTCTTGCCTGAGCAGAGGGTTGGACTAGAAGACCTTCAAGGTCCCTTCCAAATCTGTAACTCAGAATTCTGTAACCTATAGGCCTCCAAGGGTTTTTATATAACTCCCCAAAGACAAACTAGCAAACTATTATTCACTGTTAATGAAACCATTGTCCAACTATATCTAGAAAACTGCCCTTGAACCAGGATGCATTGTGAGCAAAAAATACCAGGAACATCTGGTACACTTTCCAGATGGCTCCTGAAACCATGATTCATATAAAAACTGTGAACAATCCAGATCATCATACAGCAACAGCATTTAGAGTTATATACCTCTTCACAGTGCTTTTACAGCCCTCTCTAAGCGCTTTACAGAGACAGTCTCTTGCCCCCAACAATCTGGGTCTTCATTTTACCCACCTCGGAAGGATGGAAAGCTGAGTCAACCTTGAGACTGGTGGGATTCGAACTGCCAAATTGCAGGCAGCCGGCAGGCAGCAGAAGTAGCCTGCAGTACTGCACGCTAACTACTGCACCACCACGGCTCTTAATTCTGCCTTGCTGCTGTGAATATACAATACAAGCTATGAAAACATCAACACTGAATTTCTCTGCAGAGACACAAGGGAGGAAATTCTACATTAATCCCAACCACAAGACTTCAGTCTGCATAAGGAACACTTCTTAAAAACATAGCATAAGCACAAAATTTGTATGAGTTAGCTCATCAAGAAAAAATGTGTAGGAAACAAACCAACCCCTTACATTATGTGCTTATTTTATTCTTTTGAATTATCTTTTAGCATAAGGCACAGAATAAAAAGAACCACATATTGCTATTTGTCTTTCAATCCGTGAATCAAAACGCTTCTGAGAAAAAAAACCCAATATTCAGGGGTTTACAAATTTGGGGTACTCATGCTGGTCAACCAAACCTTGTTAGCAACACAAAATCAGAGGCAAATGGTCTCTCATCCCTCTCTAACCCAAACTTGGTAACACGTAACCTCTCTATCCCCACTGAAAAAGCAATGTTTTAACACCTGCCTCCAACTTTCCTTTCCTGTTGAGAGCTGTCAAAGGACAGCAAAGGCATGACTGATGTCTGTCAGTCATCAAAAGTTCCAACTGCCTCTCAGATATAAGCCTTTTGCCTCTACCTCCCCTCCCCTCTTCATTCAAACAATAATAGAAGTATGCAGAATTCCTTTGTTTCATTGTTTGCAATGGCACTTAATGCCTCAGTTCTGCTAGCATGTCCAAAAAAAGGCTCTCTGCTACCTCTTGTTATCTTCTCATCTTAAAGATGAAGACAGAAGCCTGAAGTCCATCTTCTGGTCAGGTTGTTATTACAGGTAGTCCTCAACTTGCAACCACAATTGAGTCCAAAATTTATATTGCAAAGCGAGACAATTAATCAAGTTTTGCCCCATCTTACAACCTTTTTGCCACAGTCATTAAGTGAATCATTGCAATTGTTAAGTTAGTAACACGGTGGGGTTAAGTGAATCTGGCTTCCCCATTGACTTCACTTGTCAGAGGTTGCAAAAGGGGATTACATGACCTGGGACACTGCAACCATCATAAATATGAACAGTTGTCAAACATCTGAAATTTTGATTACGTGACCATGGAGATGCTGCAACAGTCGTAAGTGTGAAAAACAGTCATAAGTCCCTTTTTTTCAGCGCTGTTGTAACTTCGAACGGTCGCTAAATAAATGTTGTAAGTCAAGGACTACCTGTATTCCAATTGACAGCAATGATGATGGAAGGTTTCTCCCTGCAACTTGGACCTAGAAGCGTAAACATTATGCAACTTGTCAATACTGTTTCCATCTTCCTTGCACTACAGATCGAGTCCAGGTCTATTAATCCTCCTGAGCTACGGCACAAATTGCGATGATGCCAAAATGATTATGTGAGTGCAATGAAGTCATCACCCAAATGCCACGATCGGTACTGGCATCGGATGAAAAACATCGTGGCATTTATACAACGGTAACAAGAAGCATATGTTGTCATTATGCACACACACCTAGCATCCTCTTGGCAGATGTCCATGTTTCTGAGCAAGGCTGTGGCACTTCCAAATGACAGCATTGAATTCTGGCCATTTCTTGTTGCTAAATGCTTCCATCATTTAAAATGGAATTTCATATAAAACTGAATTGTCGAAGACTCATTTCTCTATTTGTACCAATGGCAGTATAAACTATCAATCCTAATTTCTACCAATTGATTAACACTACACAACGAAAGCAATTCATGCTAATTCATGACAGTTGTTCATGTTTTAGCTACTGTCAAAAGTCAAACTTAGTTATCCTTAAAAATATGTGTTATTATTATATATACGGTACATACCTCAGATGATAAAATATTAGCATCAAAAACTACACATGCATGTTTTATAATTTTTTTTTTCAAATGTAATCTAATCAGGATTACTTTAGGAGGGGAAATTTTTCCTATTTATAGGCAAAATATTAAAATGTAAACGAATAGAAATAGATTATGTACTTTTGCGCTTTATTTTTCCAACTTCATTTCCCTCACTGGCAGTAGCCTGCTCAATCAACTGAAGTGAATTTCTTCATATGCTATAAAATATAGCATGTAAAATATAGAATTAAGATGCAGTGACATGTTTCTTTGAATTGCCTGCTCACTAACATTTGTTTAGATTTACAATCAATTTCAACCGAATCCTATTTGTTGTACAGCAAAACGATTTTCCATTTAATAAGACTTACACTTCTAAAAATATCACAGCTGCACCCGTAATTTTTATGTATAAGAATTTTTTTTTTAAATCCCATGGAGACTATTTCTGGATCTGCCAATGAGGAAAATCTACACTAAGTAGGTTTGCTAAGATTCAATCAACAAATAGTACAGAATTATATGTAGTTTTATGTATCAGAATATTACTCTGAAAGTTTTGATGTCTGTTTCATAGACTTATTAGAAATGAACAAATGTATTTTGTTTTATAAACCAGTTTGAATAGAATCCCTTATTCAGTGGCAAAAAAATTACCTGTTTCTATTCATAATTTTCTGATGCACATAATTTATTTCCCCATAGCCAACATTTGCACATAGCCAAAAAGAAAATTAGCTAGCCTGACCTACATTTTGAATGAAGGCTGCACTGAATTATGTTCAAACAAAACCAATTCAGGAAAAGCCACACTGAATTTTATTTGTGATGGGGCTATAACATCTGAGACTGTAGCCCACTGGTTGCATTAACAACAGTTTATGTGGAGAAGCACATAACTTACAATCTGCAATGGTAAAGCCCAGCAAGAGATACACGGTGTAGCTTTTGCTAGTCTGTTCTAATCAAGACAACAGTAAATACGTGTATAGTCTGTCATCAAATAAATAACTATTTCAAAAGAAACCTGCAGGATTAACTATTGCTTTTAAAATAAATGTGATGTCCAGAGCATCCATCTCACACAGCTGTGACAACTTTCATTAATTTCAAATGCTTTGGCCAGAGCCTTCATGAGATCTAAATTAAAATGGAGATTGGAGGGCCACAGTGTCTGCAATACGCAACCCGAGCACAAATGCAAACCTCCATGTATTGTGCAAAGGCAGAATCCATCACACGTGCTAGAAAGAACACTGAAGGGCCATGCTATGAGCTCCACATTGTAGCCTTCCAAGCCATCCTACACAGCATAGAAGCAGATTTACTTAGAACACCGATTGTAGTTACAAAACTCACTTCCTTTTGTGTAAAAGAGATAAATGTGTGTTCACCCATAAAAGATTAGCAAACCAAAGGATTTTTAAACAGTATTTTATTTTAAGGTTGCTATAAATGCAATTATTTTGAATACCATATGCCGAGTAGTTTGATACATATTCCTGATCATGCTATTTCAGCTAGAGGAATAATGTAGGCCTTAACAGTCTTTTTTATTATTTAAATAACACACCTTCTGTTATTTTATAAGAGCAGCCAAAATATTTTTCTTCTCAATTTAGATGCAGGGGGGTGGTGGGGGAACAGTATTGATAATTGTGCAATCCACACAGCAGAGCATGTTACCTCTTCCGAAACTGTGGGATAGCATGGGGGACACTCATTTGCAACCTGTGCGCAAAATGTTCCTTACACAGGCTCTGAAATAACCAAGTTGCCTGTTATTAGAAAACTTTCAGCAAAGCTGAACCAGCTTATCATGCATTGAAATGGAGCTAGAAAGTGCAACATCAACAAGGGAGGAGGAGGGCTTATCGCAGAAGCAGTTAAGATGCCTCCTGAAATTTCAGATGCAGACAGCTGCAGCACTTTAAAACAACCCATTCAGAATGAGATAGCAGCAAAGTAGACTGTTTTGAAAGATTACAATCTAAGGTGCACTAATGCCAACCGGCAGGAGAAGGTGGAATACTGGGGGAGGGGGGAATAATGGACATCTCAACATTATCACGATTTGTCTGGGTTTTTTTTTTTTTTTTTAAGGTGAACTATCGTGCAAATAAGAGCACTGAGAAACCCTCCTTACCGCCTTGGAAACATGTCACATTTTAAAAATACGTTGCAGCCCCGTAAGAGACAGAGCTCTGGTTCTCCTAGCAAGTTATTTATTTACTTTTTTTTTTTTTTTTTTTGCTCCTTCCTTTCTAAATTTAGCCCGACAGCTGAGAAACGATGGCAGGAGCTTTTTTTTTTGGCCAGTTCAGTTTAAAAAACATCCTCTACCTGGTATCTCCGCAGTGATTGTCTTGCTGCTCCCTGAAACTTCGTCGTCGTCGTCCGACGAGCTTGTGCTCGAGTCACAGGTTAGGTCACTATCGCTGGTACTGCTGTCCTGCAGCAGGTTATACTTCTTGCGGGCCGCGGCCTCCCGCTTCTGCCTCAGTAGCCGGATGCGCTCTTTGTGCTTTTGGCTCCGGTGACCTTTGACCTTAGTGACGCGGCCGTTCTGCTTGTCACTCGATTGCCGGTTTTTCTTTGCAGCCATTGTCGAGGTTTCGCTTTCCGATCTGGACCGCCTCGATTTCCTCCCGACAGTCGATACAGACATGGAGGAAGAGTCTCCCTCAACCACCGTCTCAGGTTTCCCGGGAGCGTTCTCTTCTGCGGAGGACAGCGTGTCAGAATCAGCCAAATGGCCGCTGGATGAAGGGGACAGCATGCAATGGTTGGAGGAGTCACTCTCATAAATGCGACCGGCCATCGGCTTGTCGCTTTCCGTCGAAGCCAGCTGAGATTCGGAGGAGTCCCGTCTCAGTTCCATCAACAAGCAGGGCATTGAGGTGAGGACTGCTGAATCCTCCCCCGGCGCTCGGTTCTCTTTCTGAGCAGGCATATCCAGTTCTATAGATCCCTCTTCGCCCAGAGCTGGCTCCTGTTTCTCTGAGAGTTTGGGTGGGACTTCTGGGTCAATGAGTTCTTCTGTTCTGTCTGCTGCCTCCATCTTCATTTCAGAATTTGAAGTCTCTCCTGGTCTCAGAGGATGGACCCAGAGCTTTGTGGAAGTGCAAACTCACCTAGGGCTTCAGCAGGAGAGCAACCTAAGGAGAAAACACATACAGCACGTGAAGTGAGCTGGTAATGAGGACATCTTTGGATGATATTTTGTGAAGAGCTTTGTAAAATACAGAAGAAGCATGCTGATTATGCCACAGAGCAGGGCAATTCTATGGGGGTGTACAGTGCATTCACAAAGTATTCAGACTCCCTTCACTTTTGTCCATATTGTTATGCTGCAGCCTAATTCTACAGCTGTTGAAATTCATTTTTTCCTCATTAATCTACACTCAATAGCCCATAATGATAAAGTGAAAACAGAATTTTAGAAATGTCTATAAATTTATCAAAAAGGAAAAAAAACCTCCCAGTTCTCTTGATTGTTGCTGACATGTTTATACACTTTACAATTTGAATACTGACTCTCCCCACTTACCTCTATTTTTACAATGGGGTGGAGTGGTGCTTAAAAGTCAAGAAATATATTGGTTTTGTAATTTCATTGGATGACTCTATTCCATATTCATGTTAACTGTTAAAAAGTTCTACAGTACTATCAGCTATTCCATTCAATTTCCCTGGGAGCTAATTGCATAACCACTGGAAACCTACAACCAGAACAAAAAGTTGTTCCCTCCTGGACTCTAATAGCTATGAGTTTGTCAGATATTCATTTGAAGAAATTCTAATTTGTCATTATCCCTTTTTTCATAGCTTCCCATTTGTGAGCAGAAATTAATTTTAGCCTAGATTCTCTTGCCAGGAGCATTAGGGAAGCAGGATAGGGGAAAACCTTGGTCTTTTAGAAGAAAAGTGAACAATGGACACTACAACCACCCGTTAAATAATTTGGATTGATACACAACTCTCATCTGATATAAAAACTGGAAATTGATCCAAATACATTTATTTATTTTTATTTATTTTTTAATTACATTTTTAAACCACCTATCTGCTTCACAGAGTGTCTCTTCTTTCCAAGTTATGGCATAACAAATCAATAAATACTTCACCCAATCCCACCCCATCTTCAATCTGTCAGTAACAAAATTATTCTATATACCTGTTGAAAAGAGAGTTACAGAATGGTTCAAAACCACACAGAAGCCTCAAATCTTACAACTGAGCATGCTGTCATTTCAAAGTGTGATCAATCAATGCAATAAAATTCGCACATCTGTCTACAATAGTGTAGATTGGGCATGAAAATTATGAATGCCACCAGGGCTCAAGTGGATATAAGATAGCTGTCATATAAATAAGGTTGCTACTGTTTTAAAGGTTTGCTAGGATTTTAGTATCACTAAAATACTGAAGGGGGGGGGGGTAGAGAGAGGGAGAAAACTACAGAACAAACTATATGCATTACATAAATACTAATAATATTATTAAGGTTTTTAGATTTTTTTATTTTAACTGTCCACAGTTTGTTAATTACTAGTGTAAGAATTATTGGTTTATTTAACTTCACTCTATAGTTGATGTTATAAATTATCATAGTACATCCTAAAAATGTAAAGACAATCTTGTTTTGTTGTGTGGCAAACGATGTGACATTCTATGTTCATTGCTGGCAATGCCAGCATGTTGTATTGAGAAGAAAAGTTTCATTTACATAGACAAGAGCATAGACATTTGGGTTTTTTTTTTTCTTCAGTGCAACTTGTTCCTGTCTAAGCTATTCCTGGATTATATTGTCATACTAATCACCACAAACTTTATTTAGGAACTTTACTGTCACTGGCAAATGCAGTCCAAACTTCAGGCGGAGTTGTTTTTTTATCTTTGCTTTAAAATGCCATGATTTGAATCTGGGAATATTTGCATACCATTTTGCCCAACACAAAAAAGGGACATAAAAATATAAAGTGGATGTAGTTGAAGACCCTGCTCTATATTCAGTCAAGTCTTCTGAAGCACCTTCAAAAGAAAAAAGAGCTGTAAAAGCCACAACTCAGTTGTATGACGAAAGTGGAACAGAAGAATTAAAGTTAATAATAAAGCTACAACTGCAACTTGAATTGAGTTAGTAAATACCTTAGTCTCAAAATCTAACTTCAGGTACCTGGTCACAGTGGTAGTATAGTTAAAATGGAGCTACAGACGAACAACGGAGAGATATTTTTAAGCTGAGAGAACCCAAGATTTATAACTATAGAAGAATCTTATGATGATATCATGAACAAGGGAGTTCAACGTAAATGCTCTGTGGATGCAGAAAACCATGTGTTGGGAGAATGAAAAGCCACAGTTAAATTGGAATATTTTGATCGCTCAGTAGCTTTTGATACTATTGATCATGATATCTTGCTGGACCAGCTCCAGGAACTGGAAGCAGGGGGAGGGGGCACTATTTTATACTGGTCCTCCTTTCACTGAGGCCATTACCAGTCAGTGCTGGTAGGGAAGGCAAGGTCAAGACCCCAAACCCTTATTATGTGGGGTGTGCCTTAGGGCTTGAATATTTCTCCTCTCCTATTTAACATCTACAAGAAGCCGCTGGGAGAGGTCATCTGGTGGCATGGGGTTTGGTGTCATCCATATGCTGATGATACTCAATTACACATCTCTACCCCACGTTGGGCCAATTGATGCCATTTGGGTGCTGGCTCAGTGCTTAAGAGGCTGTAAGGATGGAGAGAAACCAGCTGAAACTCAACCCTAACAAGATGGAGTGGTTCTAGTTTTGGGGTGCTTGAGGTCAAGAGAATTAACATACTTGGACTCTGGGCAGGATAACACTCCACCATACAGGTCTTGGTGCACAATTCGGGATTCCTCTTAGGACTCACAGCTCCTGCTACAAGAGCAAGTGGCCAAGGGAGCCTTTGTCTTCTTTGCCAATTGCAACCATTTGTTTGTTCATCAATTACAATTATTTTCAAGCAACATACCCAGAAACAATTGTTATAATATCACATGCAGAAAAAGTTTTGAGAAGAAATGTGTAGATGTAAGGCAACCAAATAAATAATTATGAGTAGGCTTTTCCTCCACTTGCCAAAAGAATCTAAAAGAAAACATTGTTCTTCCAATTAACTACCCACTCATCAAAAATATTAAATTAATAAAAATTTCTACACTTGTTTTGACTAATATTGCTAATCAGGATTCTTTGGTGACATTTAGAAAAGCTCAATGTGTAGTATTCTCTGAATACCAACAGCAGGTTTAAGTTTAATTTCAAAGTTCCTCTGCAACAGATTAGATTTCTGGAAAGGGGTAATAGATCTCTTCACTGTTTGGCAGAAAGAAGGAAAATAATATCCTAGTTGGATACAGGTAGTCCTTGACCTATAACCATCCATTTAGTGACTAGAGTTATAATGGCACTGAAAAGAGTGACCTATGATAATTTTTCGTGCTTGCGACTGCTGGAGCATCCCCAAAGTTACATGACCCAAATTCGGACACTTGGCAACTGGTATGTATTTGTGATGGTCATGTGATCCCCTTTTGAGACCTTCTGACAAGCAAAGTCAATGGGGAAGCCAGATTCACTTAACATCTGTGTTACTATCTTAACCGTGTTACTATCTTAACTTCACTTAACTTTGGCCAGAAAAGTCGTAAAATAGGGCAAAACACACTTCACTGTTGTGTTGCTTAGCAATGGAAATTTTGATGCTCAATTGTGGTCATAAATCCTTGTGGTCATAAATCAAGAATTGCCTTGTTCTCGTTCACTAGTCTCTCTTCACGTTTGCCTCTCAACCTCATTAACCATGTGGCCTCCCTTAGATTAACAAATGTCTCACTTGGTAACATAAATTTTGGATTCAATTGTGATCATAAGTTTAGGACTACCTGTATGCATATAGGTACTTTGTTTCTCTGTAAGACAGGGAACGGCTGGCGCATACAGACAGGGGAACAACTGGCTAACAGAATCATTGGCTCTGCCAACTCATGCGGAGTTCACAGAGTGGCATGTGACACTTGAAGGTGCCCCTCTGCCCTTTTAAACTTTTAACTTATTCAATGTTTTTTTTTACCCAAGCTCCCACTTTACTTACTATTATTAATAAAATTATAAAATTTTAGTTTTATCCGAGTTTTATGCTTTTAACTATAAACTGCCCAGAGTAACTCTGAGAATGAGACGGGCAGTACCTAAGTTTGATAAGTAATTACTTAATTAGTGATTCCTAATTGCAAGTGCATGATGCATATATGCACATCCAATAATTGCCTTAAATTAACTGTGAACCAATAACAATTTTTGCAAGTACAATTTTGCATGTATTTAAATATGAATATATTGTTGAATTAATTCCTTACCTTTCAGCCTCTGCTGTCACTGCTCTGCAGACAAAAGACCTGAGAATCCAAAGCTGTCATTCTGGCTGTTTCCCACCAAATTCTCTAAACAAACAAACACACACATAAATCAACTTAGAAAAATGTTTTAAAAATAAATACACATGGAAGACTTAGTTAATGCTTATGAGTGTTGTTCACATTTTTTCCTATTTTATATTGGGGAAATAAAATTTGCAAAAAAGATACAGGTAGTTCTAAATGTTCTATCCTTTCTATTGCTTATATGCAGAATTCAGCACAAATTAATTTCTCTTCCTTGTAAGTCAACTCTGTACTATAGTGTTGTTCAAAGTTACAATAAATTCAATTTAAATAAAGCTATTATAAGGTAAGAATAAACAGTGTTGCAACCTACAAAAGATTTCATGCATTTCAGCCCAATTCCCTCTTACATAAGCAGACATGCACAGTAGTTCTTTTTAATAATGAAAGCAGTAGTAAATGCTGTGTTTCACAAAAACGCTGTAAATAATGCTTATCTATAATAATTTTGTTAAATTACAATAAAAAATAGTACACAAAAAAGAACCACAAATAAAAGGTACAAAGAAAAAAAATAGAACAAAAGAAAAGAAAAAAGAATATAGTAAAGAAAATGTATAAGTGATACATACACACAGTCACACAAACATACGGGGATGGCAACATGGAAAGAATATTACAGTACCGATACACAATAACAGGGTAAATATTTATATAATCTGAAAAAAAAAGCAGAGTATAGGGGTAAGGAAGATCTGAACTGGAGAGAAGGAAAGTGAATTCATGCTTGCTCATTCATCCATTTATTCGTTCATTCATTCATAAAATTTATTGGCTGCTCCTCTTGCCTCAGGGTAACTCTGGGTGGCTTGCAGCCATAAAAATATATTTATACAGTACATTAAAACATAAATAAATTAAAACTAAACATTAAAATCTGATGATATGTGGGAAGAGCAGGGATGGGGTGGAGGGGAGATGGGATCTGTTGTTACTAGATCATGTTACTATTGTGATTAATGGACTGAAAATATTATTTTAAAATCTAAGCATGTATATACTGCACTCAAAATCTGTTCTTAAAACCTATATCCTTTTCAGGGTGCGTTATAAAACTATAAAGTACATATAATGGTGTATAGAATAATAGTGATCTTTGGAAACAGCTTTGCTGTTTTTGATGTTCAAGTCCTTCTATAGCTTCCAATTCTTTGTGATCCAAAGGAAAACTTTTTGGGTCAATAACTGCTTCTTTGAATTCATATTTATGTCATTCATGATGGTATCTGCTTGCCTCTTTTCTACTTGCTTTTGATTATTTCCAATTATTAGGGTCTTTTCCAATGATTTTTGCCTTCACATTAGGTGTCCAAGTTATTTCAGCTTCAGTTTAATTTTAATTTAGTACTTCCAGTGAATACTCAAGTTTACTTCATCTTATATTGAATTATTTGTTCTTCACAGTCCAAAGTATTCTCAACTATTTTCTCCGGCATCTCAATTGAAAGGAATAAATTTTTCTTTGTTTAGGTGTTATGATGGTCCAACTTTGACAACCATATGGTAAAGTGGAAAACATTATGGTTGGAAATGTGTAAATTTTGTTGCAATTGTGATGTCTTTTGACTTCAATCTTTCATTCAGCTTCATCATAGCACTTCTCTCAAGTAATGGATTTCTCTTTACCGCCACAGTCACCATCCATGTGAATTTTGAAATTCAGGAAGGTTAGGTTTATTACTGCTTCAGTTTCCTCTCTGTCTTCCGTATTTTCACTGGGCTAGTTTTGCCTATTTACGTAATCTGATAGTTAAAAAAAAAAAAAACTCTGAGCAACAGATTGGTTTTCATAATCTCTTCTTCCAATTTCAACGAGGGATTTTTTTGGTCTTTGCTTCCAATCATCAAATGGTATCACTCTATATCATAACTGGTTACCCCATCACTCAAAGTTCTGGTTATCCTATTCCAAAAATGACAGCATGGAATTAGAAAATATGAAATAGGGATTTCAATACTTTTTAGGAAGAAGCATCAAAGTATTCAGATCGTTTTGTTATTTCCAATCCAATAGATTGTTGGAAAAAATTAAGTAGAGGTGATCAGGTTTCTCTGTGTCTCTCTGCGTTTCTCTCTTTCTCCACCCCATGCTTCCCAGTGAAATATCACACAAAGGCAACACCCTATGATCCTCAAAATAACCATTAATAATTAGGTTACCAGCACTGGGGGGGGGGGCATGATGGCTCAGCGGTTAAAGATGCTGAGTTTGCCTGGGTTCGAGACCCGAGCACCACACAACGGGTTAGCTCCCATTACTTTGTTCAGAGTTTTGCAGTGTAAATTTAGAGCCAAAAAAGTAAATATAGATGGCTAAGGCTTCATGTAACTTCTTTATAAACATATGAAGTAAATTTTACAAACCAGTTGTAGATTTCTCCAACATGGAACAAACTCAAACAGAAGTAGACATGTTACAAGTGCAGAGCTTCAGCAGCAACTCAGGAGATCAGAAACAGACATCAGTTTCACTTTAGTTCAGCAGGCAAGCAGAGGAGATAAGCAGTTTCATTTCCAATAATACCCAGAGCTTAACATAGCTTCAGAGCTTAATATAGAGCCACACTTAGGCTACTTCTAGTTTCAGTTTCCAAACAGTTCTCATTGGCTGATTTAGTTGCTATGCCTACATTGGCTGACCTTGGTACAATGCTCTATTCCAGTTCGTGAATATACTCTGAAATACTTGCCCCAGGTCCTGCTCACCTAGCAGTTCGAAAGCATGCAAATGTGAGTAGATTAATAGGTACCACTTTGGTGGGAAAGGAACAGCACCTTATGGTGTACTGGTTACATGACCATGGAAAACATCTTCGGACAGTGCTGGCTCTCTCTCAGCCAAGAAACAGAGATGAGCACCATGTCCTGGAGTCAGACATGACTGGACAGGGGAAACCTTATATCGACATTGGCTGCCTAGAAGGATCTATTTGGGGATTGCTGGAAACAGAATGTTGCAATAATTGTTTGCCCACTTAAACTTTTCTATGCTATCAATTCCGATGCCCCTGGTTTATGTAGAACATTTTGACCACCATAAATATTGGTTGTAGCTTCTCGCAGTGTACAAGTGTAAAGGTCAGAAGGCAATGTGAGCAATTGCTATAGTTTTGCAAGAGAAAGCCCAGTGTAGCTTCATAAATTAGTGAAACTCCTGGATTTTAGGTGTCTGCCAAATTGATAACCAACTGTCCCGTTTTCTTTCCTTTCTTTGTAAATTTTATTTGAGTTTTCACAAAGAGAAAAAAAATACAAATAAAACATCTTTTTTGAAAGCAGCATAATCGCAGGTTACATTTCTTCATACAGACACAAATTCAGGTTCATGCTCATTTTTATATTCTATTCCATATCTTATTACTATTTTACATTTTCTACATAGCTTCTCCCCTCTTTTAATTTTCTCAATTTTATTTTAATTATCTCATCTCAATTCAAATCATTGTATTTATATTTTTTATCTGTCGTATTTCAATTATCTATTATCTTTTCTCATTAAACAAAATTTATCCTGTAGTTACTGATTGGAGTATGACACCTTTATATCTTTTCCCTAAAGTTGTAACATTCAATATAATACATAATTCAATATAATACATATTTTATATATATATAAAATATAATTAAAACAACATTCCAATTAAATTCTATCATTAATATTAATATTCATTAAAGTCTTAACATCTTTAACATTACTTTTCAATTAAATATCATTCTTCTATGGGAACAATTATAAGCTTTCCATAGTTAATCCCCCCCCTTCACTTATATTTTATAAAACATTAACTAATCAAAATGTTCTTGTTCCTTCCTAATTCAATTTTCTCGTTTATTTCAATTTTATTCACAAACATTTCACTAAATTACACTATTTTATCCCTCATTTTAATCATATGTTGTTTCCAATTTTCTAAAGTTATTTCTATTACTAATATAACAATACAATCTTATGTACCTTTACAGAATCCCCTTTTCAGTTAGATTTTTACCCACTATCTCTAAATAGGTCCCGTTTCTCTATATCTTGCCCCGGTCCTTTGTAACTTCTTTTCCTTTCCTTCTTCCCTCTCTTCTTCTCTCTCCCCTTTTTACCCCCTTGTATCTCTACCTCTATTTCTCTCTTCTGTATTCCCCTTTTCTGTTGCTTTCCAGTATTATACTTATTTTTCCCATTATTTTTCTTTTCTTTAGTTGTTTTTTTAAGTCTTAAATTCTCCATTCTCTTTCCCCCCTTTCCTTTTTCTTCCCCACATAGAATTGCTTGTTCATTAAAGATGGCTTCTTCTTTGTCCCAGTCTTCTTGTTTTGCAGTCTTTTCTTGTTGTTTCTCATAGTTCCAAATCTCAGTTTCTAAGAATTGAAAAACGAAGCCAAAAGAACCCTTCCCTTCTTGTGCATCTTCTTTGTACTTTTTAAGTTCCATTTTCAATTCATCCAGAAGTGGTGCCATTGTATAAATTTTTAAACAACCACCCGATTGATTTTAGTCATTCAGATATAATAACCAAAAATCCAAAGATCACCAAATAGTCCAAATACACGCAAGCTGTTTCTTTTTTGCTCTTTTTTTCCCACTTTCTCTTCCTGGGGTTACTATTTAGTTGCAAAGTTTCAGTTAAAATGTATCTTTTAGAAGTCTTGTTGAAGTTTTACTTTAAATTCTTTTTAATTCCAGGCAGTTTCCTCCCTCTTCCAGATCCTGCCCTTATTCTTTTTCTCTCCCTTCCTGCTTATGAAAAAGCAAATTTTTAATGTCCAGAAATCTTTATTATCCCTTTTGGCATTTTGTTTTATTTTCAGCTTAATTGCCTATTGATGTCAAAGTGGATTTTTCCGATTTCTTATTTAAATCTCTTAGTTGTCAGTATAGGGAAGGAGAGAGAAGAAAAAAAAAGGCAAACCTTTCCCTTTTCACTTTCCTTCGCTGCTTCCGACTCTTTGGGAGCGCTGTTATTTTTTGTAAGTTTAAATTCCAGGGTACCTTGGTTGTTGCTTTTACA